TTATTTAAATTTTAAAATTGTATAAAAAAACCGAAAATAAATATTATTATTATTAACCTCGACCTATTCGACGATAATTAAATCATTTTCCAAAGAAAAATCGTCAACGAAAACAAAAAAAAAGAAAATTTTTTCAAGTTTAAATTATAGCAAAATTAATAAATAAATTTGTTTTCTTTTTTTTTTTTAATAATCACCTCGTAATTACGTATTCTCACAATATTTTCTTTTTTACGATACGGTTTTTACTTAAATACAAAAAAAATAAATAAATAAATAAAAATAAAATTTACGACTTGTTTTACAATGGGGAAAAAAAAAAAAATCATTCACGCTTATTATTATTATTTTTTTTTTAAAAGGATGTGAATGTAATGAATCTCATAAAACAGGTAACAATTTTTTTTTTTTTTTTTAAAAACATTATTAATAACGTAAAACAATATATATATATATAAACATTTCTAATATCTTCGCTCTGATTACACACACACACACACACATAATTTTTTTTACAAAATTTTACTGGCCGCATTAACCATCCAACTAGTAATTTTTTTTTTTTTTTTACTCTACCTTCGAGGCATATAAAAAATAACTTGATCAAGGAAAAATAATAATAGAAAGTTATGAAAAAAGCATCGATAAAAAACCGATGGGCGTTCACATTAAAAAAAAAAAAAAAAACGCAAAACGTTTAACGGTAGAACTTTAAACAAATTCAGGTTGCAATGGCCACCCATGGTGAAGAATATACAAAAAAAAATCGTTCATCTATCAATATAAATTTTTTTCTTCTACCACGATTTTTTTTTTTTTTTAAGGGGGAAGAAGTAACAAGCATATGCTTTTCTAGAATTATATATAAAAAAAAAAAATAACAAGACCGTAATTGAAATGCCATCAACACTCCTTATTCTCACCCAACCCCCCTCAGAAAATTGTCATCAAAACTTTATGAAAAGAATTCATGTTTTTTTTTAAAAAAAAACGTTTCCTCCCCCTTCTCCCCTTTCCCCCTCCCCAGCCCCCCCCATTTTATTTCGATTTTAAAAGTTTGTCATGAAAGAAAAAAATGTGATAACGACGACAACCTTCTCAATATAAATGATTAGGTTGTATCATCAAACCTTAAAACAGGTACGCAACTAATTAAAAGGCAATAAAAAAAAATTTTCATCTATCCAATGAGGAGTAGCTTCTCCCCCTCCGTTTATCTTAAAAAATAAATTAAGATAAAAATTTTCTAAAAGTGCTTTTCATGATGAAACCACAAAAACTACGAAAGAGAGAGAGAGAGAGAGAAAGAATCACTAAATCAATTAATGTCACCGATCAATTTTCGGGGCCTCCTCATTTAAAAATAAAAAAAAAGGGGAGGAATACGAATAATAATAATAATAATAAGGATAAGAAAAACATAAAGAACGTCAAAAATGAGAGATAAGAATGTAATATAAGTCGATGTATAGGTTTTTTAACATGAGATTGGCTTGAGGGGCCATATAAAAACCATTTTCTAGTCGGTTGTTGTTGTTTTTGTTGTGTGTTGTCGTCTATTCCACGTCTTGTTCGTCTTAAAGATGTATTTTAGTGATTTTAAATAAAATAAAAATTATATTATCAATTGGAAAAGGGGGTTTTCCTCTCCCAAAAAAAAAAAATGTGTTTAATGACTTTTGTTTTTCATTGTGTTTTTCAACTTTGACCCCCCCCCCCATAAAAATATCCCGAAAATTTTTTGAATAAAAGTATTTAAATGCTTCTACTTCCGGTTTTTTTTTATTTTAAATTAAAATTTAATTGCTTATAGGAAAAAAAAAAAAAAAATTAAAAATTTCATTTTTTCAATTTAAAAAAACGAAACGATTTAAACGGGGGTATGGCGCGGGCGGAGGGAAACGGGGGAGGGAAATTCAATTATAATCTTATTTCCTCGCGTTTAAATAATTCACAACATTTTTTTCCCCCGCCCCTTCTTCTTCTCGAAGTAAACGAAGTAAAAAATATTTTTAGTTATTAGTATTAGTATTATTATTATTGAAAAGAGACTTACCACATTGACGAAATCTTGAAACGTTATGGCGGATGTTTTCCTTTCCTGAGCTTTTTCTTGTAATATTTCTCTTTTGTTTGCATCTACTTCGGTTATAAAATCCGGACTTTTTAACACTTGTAAAAAATCATCCCAGGGTATTTCACCGAAACCTTCCGGATCGTACTGCAATGAAAAAAACAAAAAAATGTTAATAATGATAATGGTGATGATGATGATGAAGATGATGGTGATAATAGCAGGGAGTGGTGGGGTGTATTCCTGTGATCCAATTACTCGGAGGCTAGGAATAGAGGATGTTTTAGAGGCGGGGATTCTGGGATTAGATTTCCCACGTTGACTAGGCATCCGCTATAGGATGAATCTTCAATTTGGATGCCTTGGGGGAGTCCGAGGTAACCAGGTTAAAATCAAAAAGTCACCGAGTTGAGAGTCGTGGGTTCAAATCCTGGGAGTCGGAGTTTGATTTCATCTCGTCCGAACATGAAGACACTTGTACCTACATAAGGGGATAAGTGACCTAGCACTCTTTTGGAACATTGGGGATGCACCGTGACCTGTGACGTGAAAGAAAGACAGATAAACGATCAACGGGATTCGAGACTCCGGACATCTTTCTCTCACCGGAAACTCGCAGACTCTGCGGAAAAGACAGGAACGATGGTAACACCGGGACTCTCGAAGGGTAAAAGGGGAAGCATCGGGATTTTCACCGGGTGTGAACCTGATAGTTCTGACACAGGAGGGGGTAGAGCCTAAAATCCAAATTATACTCCCGCGAACGCCCCTCCCTCCGGGAAACGGTAACACACGCCCAGGAATCTTAATTGGGTAGTGGCTTCACCCGAGTCCCACACACTCTCCCGGCTACCGGGTGGGGAAGCAAGTGCAAAATACATTTCTACCAACTTAACAAAAAATGATGATGATAATACTAAAAGAATTACAAAAAAAAAAATAAATGCAAAAGAATAAAAATGACAAATGGCGGTTTTTCCAACTGAAAAAATAAATCGCTAAAAAGTAAATCAATTACAATTCACAAAGAATTTTTTTTTTTTTAATAACAATATAAGAATTTCAATTTGACAATACAAAAAAAAAAAAAAAATTGTTTCCACTTTGTCAGAGAAATAAAAAAAAAAAAAAAAAAGGAAAACATTAATCTCATTTCGAAACGCGTCGTAATCAATAAAAAAAAACTTATATAAATATTATTTAATAATAATAATAATAATAATAATAATAAGAACAAGAAGAAGAAAATGCGAGGGTGTGTGAAATCATTAACCGAACATTTACGTTGTTTTAAATATAAATAAATAAAAAATTTAATAGTTTTAATTTATTAATAAAATTATAATTAATTCTTTTATTAATTAAACAAATGAATGATTTAATTTTTCAACTGTTGCATGAACTTTAACCTTTCTTTCATGCAGACCTACAATAACGTGTTTTATTACAATTTCTCTTTATCCTGGCTACAACTACTCCTACTACTACTACATGTGCAATAATAAAAGCAGAAGAATAAATGATAATAATAATAATAATATATATGATGATGATGAAAAGTATTAAAGTTTTGTTATAGGTTTGAAAATATTTCAGTTAAATAATATTTTACTTAAATAAAAATCTATTTATAAATTGTTTTCCTTTAAATGGACAGTCAATAACATTTCATTTGTTTTTCTTAATGGAAAATGTTATAGCTATTAGCAGAAGAAACAAAAAAAAATTCTTTTTTTTTGTTGTTCTAAAGTAATTGTATTTTTTTTTTTTTTAAATGAAGAAGTTGATTTGAAATAAGCTTATATATATATATAAAAATTGATATTCCTTTCTTTCTTTTTTTTTTTTTAACTTAAAAAAGGTTTTATACTTTCAAAAGAAACATTTTTTTTTAAAAAAAAAGGAAGTTTTCAATCTTGAAAAACTAGGTAGAAAAACACAACATTGTTCTTAAAAGTGATTTATTACCGCGTTTACTAAAATTCCATTTAAAAAAAAAAAAAAGAATTTTCAATGTTTTTTAAATTAACTTGTTGTTGTTTTAAATAAGTTAAAAACTAAACATTTTGTTGTTAAAGATTACCCAAAAAAAGTTAAAAAAAAAAAAATAAAAATAAAAAAAACGTTAAAAGAGAAAAAATTTTAAATGCATGAAAAAGTT